ATCTGCAGCGGCTGAAAGCTTGCACCAGAAATGTTACACCATTTAACTGAAACAGAATTAATTGATGAGTTTATATAGAAAGAGGTAGCTTTACCCTAGGAGCTAAATGCCTAAAGGGCTTATTTTTCTTCTCTCTCTCTTTCAGATCTGTAGAAATACAAAGCAGTTGTGGGTTTCCAGAACAGCACCTGAAAAACTCAGTTTTGCATCTAAAATTCTGCTTCACATGATACATTTGGCATGTTCGGCTGTTGTTTAAAGATAAACAAACAAGCAAACAAACAAACAAACAAAACCCTTTGCAAAGCACCCTCTAACCCAGGTTCTTGGCTGCATTAGCTGGAGCCCCAAACCGGAACCATGTTGACACTTCAGATGCTCTGGCTTGAGTCAACATGAGCTCACATTTAGCTTTAAAGGCTGGCCGATCAGCATCACACCAACCCCGTCAGCAGAGGTGGGAGGTTGAGATCCGAGTGTGACTATGCGCAATGAGGAATGACACAAGCCTGATGAGGCTGGATGGCCATGGCCAGTCACAGGACAAGGGGACAGTGCACAAGAATGCGATCTCAACACAGGGTTTAACGTTGCACATTTAACGCGTGAGTCACCCTGAAGCGCATGAGTTCACCCTCTGGTACTAATGCAGTTCTTCAGCTGGCATTTGCATCACTAGCTATGACTCACTGGATCACTAATCAGAAACGTACACCTCTCATTAGTTAGCATCAGCTTTATTGTGGTAATGGATGTCACACAATGAATCCATTTCAGCGTTCAGCAGCAGCTCTGAGCTGCGGGGTCCTTGCACTGCTCCTGCTCAGTGGAATGACTGCTCGGCATCTGCTGCTGCATGAGCTCTGTCCGGGGGTGGCTGGGAAGTTCAAGTCAGAGAGACGCCAAGATGTCGGGCCACTCTCCTGCAGCTCAGCTTAGCAAAGGCTACTGCGCGTTGGGACACTGGATCTTCAAGGATCCCATTCATGTGAAACATGAAGATAGCTGCTGCTGGCCTCATGTCAGCCTTCAGAGACTGATGCTATGTCAAAGTAATGGTCAGGGTAGCTCCCAGTGGAGCAAAGTTCGTGTGTCCCCAACTCAAGGGTCATCGCTTATTCCCATGGGACACTACGAATGGAAGTTGTCACTCTGCTCTGCTGTCACTGTCACCGCCGAGCTACGGCGTCTTGGTGAGGACTGTGCAGAAGGCTGTATGTCAGCAAGCAGGCACACTACTGCTTCGGGAGCAGAACCTTCCTCTGACAGCACGCAGTGTGTGAGCACAGCAGAGCTTCCCTCACCACACTCAGCCCTGGACGGTCACACAGGGCCCGAGGAGTGTGGAGGATGGAATAAATATCGTCTCTATTGATTGCCTTAACTCTGACCTTATGTTCTCACTCTCAGTATTTCTTGGCCTCTTTCTCAGTCCCTCTTGTCAAATGTCCTCCTGTGGAAGACCGTCTTAGAAGGAGATACAGCCAGAGTTAGTTATGGAGAAAGCAGTTTGTGTCTTCTGTTCCTGGGGTCCCCAGCCAGGACCCTCACAGACCTCTGCAAGAGAAATGCACCAGGGCCTGCTCTACAGCCACCACATGCAAAGAGAAGTTACCTGCTCTTAGATGTAACTACTGTAAATTCAGAATTTCATGTGCTTAGAAACTCCAGCAATGAAACTTGCTACCGCAGGCAAGCTGCTCTGCCTGCTTCAGCAGCTCCTGTAGCCCCTGGAGGGGCACTGGCAGCTTGTGGATGGCTCCTGCAAGGACACCTCATCGTCCCCGAGTCCTGTGGAACTCCAGGACACCTCCGGCTCTAGGCAAGAGCTTCAGTTTGGCTCACGACCCTTTCTGAAGCAGAGCTAAATGTAAGAATGACAGAAAAAGTTGCAGCACAAGTCAGGCCACAGCCCTTTAGTCCTCCAAATGCCCCGTGGAGGGGCTGAAATGGGCTCTGGCTGCAGCATCACCCGGGCTTTCACAAAGCCTGGCCAAAGGGGTGCAGCACCCTTCAGCCCCTGAGGGGATGCTCAAGGGCCATCCCTGCGGGCAGCGGCAATCACGCCAGCGTGGTCCCACCTCACTCCTCCTTAGCAGCACTGCCGTGTTTAGGGGTGGCTGTTGTGGGAGGTTTAGGTAGTACTGTCGTTCTCAAGACAGGCCCAGGGACTGGAAAACATGTCCTGAAATGGGTCATCTAAGCTTATCTAACTGCTTTTTACATTATTTTCTGAATTTACAGCAATTTCATAAAAGAGAGGAATTTTCACAATGAAGGAGAGTGGCTGACAGCATTAAATATTCTATTTACAGCTGACTTCCTGGGAAATATTTCAAGTCTTTGACATCAACTGGGAGCATAAAAATTTCAGAGATGAAAGGCCATGACTTTCAGAAAAAAGAATGAGAACATTTAACTCTGCAGGACAGTTGAAAGTGCCAAACACAGGGTGGGTAAGGAGAGGAGGATGGACTGCACTTCCCTGGTGCAGGACGACGGGCTCTCTACAAAAGGTCACATGCAGCAGTATCATGTCACAGGGTAGGAGCTTAGGCAGGGTCTGCTGCTCCTGGGAGAGACGGGGGTGAGGGAAGCACACTGCCTACTGGAAGCACAGGAATCAAAGGAAAGCAGTGGTGGAGGACAGGAGGGGTTAAAGAGAGGCAGAGGATGGAGAAGGGGTGTCCCCTAGAAACCAGGAGTACTTAGACATCTCTGCCAGGAGGCTGCATGGAGAACAGCAGATCAGCCGTACGCGGTGATCTGGATGGACACGGGAGGCCAGGGAAGGAAAGAGGACAGGCAGCGGGGGGGCTGTGTTCTGACACCGCGTGGAGTCACAGGTGCTTTTCGCTGCTGGCTCTGGGAGACCAAAGGAGGCTGAAGGCAGAGACCCAGCAGCCCCTCCACCAACCCTGGGTGAGGGAGGGCCAGCTGGGCCCCAAACCAGGTCTCAGCAAAGGGCCAATGCCTGGCATGGGAAGGCTGTTTGAGATGCCATGCCTGGCTGCCATTAAAAGCTGGTAACGTCCAAGTTCTCTAGTGTCACTGAAGATATGCACAGTCAGCACTTTTAAGGAATATTAGGCATGGTGTGCCTGATTTCAGAAGGGTCCCCAAATGCAATTAAACTAAGTGCATTCAGCACAGGACCCCATGGTTCCTGACTGAGCAGTGCAGGGAGAAGGGACCACATGTGAGACACTGGTCTCCAGGGAATGCCCTTAATATGCATTTGGGGCCAAATCCAGAGAGATAGAACAGTGTAGCAGGGCAAGATCCAGAGATTTAATTCCACACTGCGGTCGTAACTACAAGTTTGGTACCTACCAAGAGGTGGATCACCAGTGCAGCCAGGCTGGCACTGCCAACACAGGCACTGGCAGGGAGACACGAGCCAGCTGAAGGATGGAGCTACACGAACACTCCCCTGGGGGTATGTTAGGATAGGACACTTTGTCCCTCCTGCTACAGCTTGAAACGTCACCAGCTGTGCTAGCACCACATGGACTTGTAGTGCATCACTGTGATGATCTGTTCAGAAAAACTTTTCCAAAAGAAGGGTTCCCCTTAGCTCAGAGCTCCCTGCTGAACTGGCACCTCGCTGACCCCCAGCAACCACCCAACGGTAATGCTGGTGGGACGTGCTTACTGTGGCTTTGCTACTGTGGGAGGTGTTGTGTGGCTGCATCTTGAAAGGGTAGAGCGAGACCGGAGATTTTGGGTCACTTTCTGCTGTAACTTCAAATTTCAGAGCCTTGTAAGAATTCGCTCTCAAATCTTGGGCTCTAATTCAGAGTTTTTTGGTTTAGTTTAGTTTTACAGTTAGGTGGGGATGTTGGGGTGAAAGTGTGGGGCAAAGTGGCCACCGCTGCCATGGGGGCAGCAGATCAGAACAAGTGCCAGGTGCCAGCAGGTCGGTGGGTGGCCTGGCACGGAGGACACGCCAGGCAGAAGAGCAGCGCAGGGCGGCGCGAGGGACACAGAGAGGTCTGTGCTGCTCGGGGAGCATGACGGTCACAGCTCCAGCATGGGAGAGAGAACCGGTGTCTCCTGAGTGCCGTGAGGGATGAGGGAACCCAAGTATGACTTTGTAAGACAACGAGGCTCCTGCATGTCCTGGGGTGCCTCTGCCGTGACCTTTCAGATCTCCTGGGCCGGCCGGGCTCCACACAGATCTGTGCGTGGAGGAGGAGAACAAGGGGTGAGAGGATCTACCACGCTTAGGCGCTGCATAGATACCTCTGAGCCAGCAGCTAATCCACCGGCCCACACAGACATGTGTGACCCAGCACTGCGCTCAGCCGGGTACGGCCGCTGTGAGCACCCACGGGAGGGATGCCCGGCTGCACCCCCCTGCCCGCAGCCATGCGTAACACCCCCCAGCTGCACCCTGCCAAAACACCTCCCTGCAGGTCACCAGAGCTGGCTCGTTCCAGAAACGGTGCCGAGCTCTGCCTCAGTGAACAAAGGTCGGGGTGGTGCTGCTGTGTCCTTTCTAAGGGCTGTCACAGACCACCCTCGTGACGGCTCCCGCTCAGCAGTGACTGACCAGAGCTCTAATACGTAGTCTGACAACATTTGGAGATCCTTTGAAATGAAAAGCACTAGAGAAACACACATTGTTATTAATTGTTCAGGAGCAAACATTTAGAAGTGAAACCCATGACTAAATACAGCAGCTTAACAATAGCATTGAGACAGAGGAGGAACATGAAACAACAGGAAGGCAATTTAAAGGGGAAAAGCAACAGTGCGAGCTCGCTACGTGTGCGGTGCATAGAGAGGAGCCATGAACAAATCACACCAAATTCTGGAAAGCATGTCTCAGCATGTCTCTCCCCGTCAGCTGAGAAGTCCTGACATCTCTGAAATGCCCCACAAAACACACCCTGGATTACTCGGCACAGTTACACTCTGCTTATGCACCTCCCTGTCCCCCTGGGTGCCTAAGCCCTGCACCCACCCTCTCCCCTGGCCAGTGACCAGCATCTTACCGTGCCGCGACCACAGGTGACTTCTTCCCGGGATCTAACGTGGACCCGGCTGGTTCTTCCCCCAGTGATCGTGTATCCTTATTCAGTTGCTGTAGTCGGGAACTTAGCTCACTGATCACAGTTGGCTTGTCATCATCAGCCCCATGGATTGGCCTGCTCTCCATGGGGTCCCCCCATAGCTTGGACCTTCTCTGAAAGAGGTAGCGTGGCCGGCCAATGCTGGCTGATGCCAGAGTGGCCGCATGTTGCTGGGAGATGAGCTCGCTGTCCGAAGACTGCTTCAAAAGTGGGTCCCTGAAAGTAACTGGCCCCTTGCTGAGCTGGGACTTGAGTTTTGGCTTTGGAGGCACTGGTGGCTTCTCGAGTATAAAAGTTTGTCCATCCGCAAAGGAAGTGTATGTGTCAGTAGGCTCCCCGCTTTCTGAGGACAACGTAGACATGCTGGAGACCGTAGAGATGGTGCTTGTGGTCTCCAGGTGATGGTCACTTGAACTTCTGGTGTCCACCTCTTCCACTCCCGAGTCTGCAGCAGACTCTGGGGCTACGGGGGCATCAGAGGGCTTCCCTGAGGGTGTTCCGCCAGTGGTAGAAGGTGCTACTGCTGCCGCTGGTATGGATGGCGTGCTAGGCGTAGCCAGGTGGCTGACTGGTGTGCCAGGGGTGGTGACCAGTACCCCGTTTGCAAACTCATCTGGTGGAGGCACCAGCCCTATCTTGGCCAGCTCCTCCCTGGTCTCTTCGTCACTTGAAGACAACTGAGCTGGTGGGAGGGTAACCGTGTAGGGCTCCACTTCTTCCTCCGAACTCCCTTGTCCCAGCGTCTTGTCAGAGGCTGGACTGACTGGAGGCTTTCCCACGGGACTGGGCTGGGTCTCTGCTTTGGGGGACTCTGCTGGCTCTGTGCATGCTTCAGGGACAGCTGGTTTCTCCTCTTTTATCTCAAGTCCTATCTCGTCTTGGCCATTACTTGTGGCATGAACCATGATGAGGCCAGCGGTCTTCTGCTGTGATGTATCCACTATGCTAATAATCATGGACTTCTTGTCTTCTTGTTTCTTCTCCTCCTTCCCAGGTGTTTCTGCTCTTGCCTCAGTTTCTTTTCTCAGTGTGGACGGAGTCCCCCACTGGCTCTTAGTAGGGGCCAAAGTCCCAGAGTCTGTTCCAATTGCCCCTTTGCCTCCAGGTGAGTACACAGGGGACACTAAGCTCTCCAACTCCCCCCTCTCTGGTTCTTTGGTTTGGATGTCCACAAACAGGGGTGCTGCTCTGTCTGAGTCTGGGCTGTGGATCGGGGTGGGCGACCGGGATGGGACTTGAGTTGAGAGGGCCCGTTCCCTTGCGGCCAGCGCAAGCGCCAGTGGTGAGTTTGGATCCAAGGGCTTTCCTGTTAGGGGGTGGATGAACGTTGAGGATGAGCTGCTAATTAATGGCTTTAAAGCTGAGACAGGGGAAGGCAGTAGTACATCTCGGCTTCCTAACAACCGCTCATCAATAGACCTGGACTGCTGCAAGGATGGCATGTCACTGCTGGGGGGGCTTCCTTCAATGGCCCCAACCGAGAGGAAGACAGTGGATTTCCGCCTCTCATCCAGACGACGGTCTCTGTCCTTCATGACTCCAGCGATGGCAGTGGCAAAGGGGATGCTTGTGGCTTCAACCTGAGCAATGCCGGTGTGGTGCTGATATTCCACTCCACTCAGGCGATGGCTCCTGCGGGTGGGAGAGGGCTCCCTTGTAAAGCCTCCGGTGATGGACAGTGCTGCTCTCTCCTGTGCATCCTCCACTTGTAACTGCTTAACAAGAGGACTCTTCTTTCTCTGTGGCTTGGTGGGAGCAAACAGGCTGACATTGAATTGACCCATGTTGGCATAAGGGTTGTCAATCACTCTCCCCTTCCTCTTCAGCTTCTCTGGAGGGGTTGCAGATGGGCCAGGCCGGGGGATCTCTGTTGGCTCCACGGGAAGATGAGAGGAATCCTGTAGGATTATCATGGATCGGGCCCTCTTCTGCCTTTCAGGGTAAGGAATGGAAGTCCTTGCCTGATCATACATCTCAGCTGCACTAATGACCTGCGGGAGTCCATGGAGTTTAGCCTCCAGGCTTGGCTTAAAGCTTGATCTTATGGTATCATAAGCTCTTCCTGGGGGTGGAGGTGGCGAGAAGGATGGAGGGGGGCCTGTGTCAAAGTAATATGGAGAAGGAGGTGGGGGTGGGGCTGTTTGAGGTGGTGGTGGAATCCCATGTCCTTCCCTAACAGTGTCTTGCATCGATGTGCTCCGGGGAAACTTCCCATCTAGCAAAGAAGCAGCAAGTTTCTCGTCTTCACCTGGAAAGCAAGAAGAACAGTGAAGTCAGAGAGGACATCTCTAGAGAATCCAGAGCACGACAGTTGCCGCAAATTGGATATATGACATCCCTTTCTTCCGTCCACCCCACTTTCTTTCTGAGGTGACTTTCCACTTCATCTTTTATTTGCTTGGTGCAAGCGTTTGCAGTTTGGCCCTTTGCTCATGTTCACTTGGCACAGAAAGGCGGCTGCAGACTCTCACAATGTCTTACATTGTTTTAAATCCACCAGACAGTTGTGCCCAACACCTTCCAGCCAGGCTGAACACTCTCCAGACCAACGCAACAGTGACAGAATGGAACACTTGCTTGATCAAACCTCCCGACACCCAACTGCCAACGTGTGAGACAGCTGAGTGCAACCAGGTTGTGCAATTCACAGCAAACAGTGCCATCTCCCATGTGCAGGTTCTCTCACTCTCCCGCTCGCTGTTCTCGTGTCACACTTCCCCCCTTTCCCCCGAGGGGTTACATATGCTTCAATGTGCTAGACTGAATTCAGAAGCAGGGTCTAGCAGAAACTTAAGTTACGTATTTCAAGAATTGGAAGTACCCAAGGAAGCCAGATTCTGCCATCCTTACTATTAACTTACTACCTGGGTGCACAGCAAGAGCTTTTTCAGGTACTTGTAATACTCAGTGAAAGAGTATGAGAACCTCGCTAAGTAAAGTAATAGGAGGAAAAAAAACACTAATATAGCAAGTATGGTGCAAGTACTTGCATGGATGCTAGTTAACCAGCCTAGCTTGCTCCAGCCCTCTGCATGAGCCTGCCCCTCTTCACCAAGTCCTGCCTTGCTATGCTCATCACTTAACTTGCCATACCTCCTTCTTTTCAGTCACAGTTCAGCTGTTTTCAAGGTTTCAAATTGCTCTTGAGAGAATGCTCAGGATGGCAGAAAGCCATGTCTTGGCACAGCAGCATGGTGGCCACCTGCTTTTTTGGCTCTAATGCTTTTTCTGTAATGTCCACCAGCATTCAAAGTGCTTTGGCAACTGTGCCTTGTATTACATATTAGCAATTTCACCAAATGCCTGCAGATGCAGAGTCTGCTGGGAGAAAAACGGAATATTTTGGCCAGTGAGCACTGAACTTTACATCTCATCGTATTGATCAATCACTATGTTCAAAGCCATGCTATTTTTGCTGAACACAGTTTGGGGATTTTTAATACCAAGGTAGCATAATGAACTGGAAGCACGAAACAAGTTCAAAGAGAGACTGGACAAAGCCGTGGAGGATGCACTTTTTGTGGGCTATTATGTGCACAGAAACCTCTGAACTGAAGACAGTAGCTGCCTGGGTGAGTATTCAGGAGAAATATCATATCCTTGCCCTGTTTTCGCTCTTCCCTGGGCATCTGCTTAAAAGCAATGCTTAAGACAGGATCCTGCACTAGATGGAGCCATGGTTTGATTCAGTATAGGCATTGTCATATTCTTAACAGCATGAAGATCCAAAAAAAAAGTCATGCCTTTATGCTTATTTCTACTTCTCACCTGGGAATGGCCAGGAGTTGAAACAAGGAAATTTATGCAGCAGAGCTCTGTTACCATGCCCAGACTGTTACAGAACATGGTCTAGTGCCATTAGAGCTTGTCTTAGGGATGTGCTGACCATCCTGTAGATAGGTACTACTCTGTCAAGTACAGAGCTATTTCAGGAAATAAAACTGGAAAGCTGGTTGGTCTTTCTCAAATTTCCTGATCTGCAAAGAGCAGACTGGCCAAGCGGCTGTCAGGCCAGAGGAGACACTGACTACCAACAGTCACTGGCTGCTGCAAATCCTTGGCTGTCGACCATGAACAGTGAAAGTTGTACGTGTGGTACCCCCGTTCTACCTGTGAGCTCACAGTCCCTGCTGTGAAGATCTTTTAATATGTTAAAAGCAAAGTATTTCAAGTGAAGGAAGGGTGAAGGGGACAGTTAGATAATCTAAACATATTCATGGCATAGGTATTAGTTTTTGTTTTACTTTACATACCTGCTTCTACAATTACTCATTTTATTCTCTCTGTTCCCCACGTTATTTTTCTCTGCACAAGCATCTCTCCTCCATTTTTTTGAGGGGAGCACTATGGAAAATGATATCTGAAGCACTACCAAGTTCAATGACCAGCTAGAGATCTCAGAAGGACCTAGACAGGCTAGAGGAATGGGCCAGCAAGAACTCCATGAATTTCAACAAGGACAGATGCAAAGTCCCACACCTGAGACGGAAGAACCCCTTGCAACTGGACAGGCTGAGGACTGGCTGGCTGGGAAGCAACTCTGGAAAAGAACTTGGGGGGCTTGGTATGCAGTGAGGTGAACATGGGCTGGCCCTGTGCCTCAGCAGCAAATGTCAACAGCATCCTGGGCTGTGTGAACAGGAGCAAAGGCAACAGACAGAGCAAAGAGGTTACACCTCTCACTCCCACTCATGAGACAACACCTACAACACTGCATCCAGTTTTGGGGTCCCCAATACAAGAAATACATCAACAAACTAAAGGGAGTTCAGTGGAGAGCCACCAAGACAGTCAGGGCTGGAGCTCTTGCTCTGTCTGGAGAGGCTGAGAGAGCTGGGCTTGTTCAGCCTGCAGAAGGAATGGCTTTTGGGGGGACCTAACGGCAGCCTTCTGGTACCTACAGGGAGGTTATCAAGAAGATAAAGCCAGGCTTTTCACAGTGGTACATGGTGGGAGAACAAGAGGCAACGGGCAAAACCGAAATGAGAGGTTCTGGCTGGATAAAAGGAGAAATTTTATGATGAGGACAGTCAAGCAGCGGAACAGGCTGCCCAGAAAGGGTGTGCAGTCTCCATCCTTGGAGGTTTTTGAGACCAGACTGGATAAAACCCTCATAGCTGACCCTGCTTTGAGCTGCAGGTTGGACTGGAGACCTCATCCTTCCAACCTGAATTATCCTTTGATCCTACGACAGAAGAAGAGTGGCTTCATTCCAGTTCTGGTTCCCAAGCTGACCATCTCTACAACCCTGCTCCTTGGAATAGCTGGAATTCATGACTGTTCCCTGTGAAAATGAACATCTCCTATTGCTCCTCAGCAAGAAAATCAACACGCAGGAGAGATCACTGATGGGAGAGGTGGGAGGAAAGCAAATTCTTGGCAGGCGCTTTCTTCACTACCTGCAACTCACCATTCTGACACAGCTCCTCTGCTCACTGTGTCTGTGTGCTTGCCATCCGAGTCCTGCATAAACAACTACATCCATTTACTCATCTGCCTCTCCTCCTCTCCATGCAGCTTGCTCACTCCCTACATTCTGTTGACGACACTGCCTTGATACTCCACTTCTCCATCTCTCCTCCAGTCTTGCAGATCAAAGGCACATCTAGCCCAGCGTGCTGCCTGGCAGCGGCCAATAATAATTGCCTGAGGAAGCATATAAGAACACAGCAAGCATGCAGTGCTGCTTCGCCCCTCCCAAATACTCTGTCAGCTTCCAGCAATTTGCTGATCAAGAGCTGGCTGAGTCAGACTGCCTTTGTGTTTAACCCTTGGTGGACTTTCTTCTTCCAGACACTTGGCAGTGCTCTTTGAACTCACGCAAATTTCTCACACTCCCAATACCCTGCAGCAGTGAGCTCTGCAGTTTACTAGCACCGTGTGCAGAATTACCTCCTTTTCTTTCTTTTGAAACTACACCTATCAGTTTAGTTTAATGCCCATCCAGTCTGTAAAGACCTTTTACAAGGCTTTCTTTGAATTGTGTTGCTGTGTTATTATGTTCTCTTATGCAAATCATTCACTACCCATTCCTACTGTAATAGCAAATTTTGTAAAATACAGTCTTCATGATAGGAAGAAACTCCTCACTGATGTTTAAATGTGATCACATGGGCAAAATGAAACCTCTCCCTTAACACAGAAGCATCTGTTTATGGTTAAGCATGAGACTAATCATTGCTGAGTTTTATTTACTGTCTATGCAGGATATAGTTCTGCTCAGGGAGTCTCCAAAGTTGAACAAAGGCAACCAGTAATCCCTTGGGAGCAGGCTTGAAACCTGATGTCTTGATTAAGTATTGAATTTATGAATTGTGTTCAATCCTTGCAGAGCAGGCTGGACTCTGCACAGACACCTGCAGAGGTAATGAGCATACAGCCATACAGAAATCCCCCTGGTGAAAGCAGTGCTGAGGACAAGGGTCCTCCTAAAAGGTGAGGGACCAGCTACATGACCGGTGAAACCACCCTGGCGGTTTTTAACTTGAAACGGAGAGAGAAGCTATTTGAGTTTATCTAAAATACTGGTAGCTGAAAGCATGGTGCTCTTTTATCCAATTCCACTCCTGACTAAAATGTTAACAGCTAATTACTTGTCGTAAATATGTTCATTTTTCACTTTTATCTTAACACTTGCCTGTTGCTAAATGCTGCGTGGGGCAATGGGCCACGACTCAGGGGATGGGTGGTCTGCAAGAGAAAGAGCCTGACCAACTCCTGCAGCGTTTGGAGCCCTTCTAAAAAACTCAGAGGTACCCAAGAAAGAGCAGAGCATCTCTCCACCAATGTGTGCACCCACAGAACAGGCTATCAGCCAACACAAAAAGTCTCCAGTGATGAGCCTCAGCCAGACTCTCTCTAACACGCAGCACGACACTGGGGGAAGGCAGTTCCTTTAAATTTGTAGCATCTGAACTAGATTGTCCTTTCATTCTGACGGATCTCAACCCAGCAATTACTGACTTGCCGTTTGCTATTCCCCTGTGTCGCAGGAACATGCATGGCGTCTGTGCTCTGTTTCCCGGCACACTCTGCTGCCAGTGACCGAGCGCTCCCACCTCCTCCAGACCTCAGCCCTCTACCACACACCGATGGGTTGCCAGATGAACGTGAAACCTTGTGAGCTATTCCAAGTTCTCCAGAGGGATGGTGGAGGTGGGGCTGACCTCTGAGAAAAGACAGCATCTGTCAGTCACAAATGGCACGGCCCTTTGTGTGCTGCCTGTGACCTCCCTCTGTGCCTGGTCCATCTTGCATGTACATAACTGGAAGATTAAACTTCAGTGACAAATAAACAAACCTGTCCCTTTGCTAACTGCCATCGAGATTCTGTCTCTTCAAACAGCATATACTGTGTCTTCATCATAGTGGGGCATATATGCTTCCTACAAAGAGCAACAAGACATCACCAGGATCAAACTGCAGAGGTCGGTGCATGCAGGAATAAAGGGCTTGAGTCAAAATGGAGTCTCCAGCGACCAGCAAAGACCAGCAAAGAACCCCACCTCCGAGCACCCAGAGTAACTGGTCTGAAATGAGAATCACGCGCCCGGGTGCATGCCCGAAGTGCAGCCTGGCAATGCCACAAGCCTCAGGGCAACGCTTCTCTGCAATTCACAGCATGCTCAATGCATTATTAATCTCCAAGGAAAACACAAAAACTCTCCATAATGCTTTTGGGCCTGTTGCCATAACAGCCTAAATCCCTGTGAGAATCTAACTCTGTGCATTAATTTGGGCTCGCTAATGAGGTGGCTCTCTCCAGAGCACACGCCACCATTCCCAACCTTGCTTTCCCCATGCAGGGATGGCAGAGCAGCTCCCAAAGCCACCCCTGAGTTAGAGCAGAAAGGTGCCAAGTGCCACAGCTATGCTCATGTCCACAAGTGGAAAGCAGGTGAGCATCACCGTCCTCGGGTGCGCGGGGCTGGCATCAGCTCCAGGCAACAACAGAACTGACAGGAGGAGGAGGAAAGCCCACTGTCCTTCAGAAAGCAGTGAAATAACAGTACTGTGCTGGCTGCTAAGGCACAAAGCTTAAATGGCAGCTAGGGTGAACCTGAGAACCTGTTTAGAAGAGGGGAAAGCATTGGGAGTTCACCCAGGATCTGTACAGGGAGCGACGGCCCTGGAACAGGATCGCGGAGGGCTGCCAGCCCTGGTGGCAGAGCTGCCCCCACCCTGCCAGACCTTCGTGCAGCCAAGTAAGGATGCACACTCACCCCCCGAGCTGGAAGAGCAGGAGCAGCCCAGCATCCTCAATGTCCTTTTGAACACCAAGTCACCCCTTATTTCCTCAGCAGTGACAGTGCTTAGTCAGTAAGGTGCATCTGCCACCTACAGCCAGCGCCTGCAGCCCGTCGTGTTTCTAATTGACATGGGGACACACACTACTTCTATCTGTGCAAAACCACCATCTACACCATCTTGAATTTTCTCAGGGGAGAGACTTAGCAAGTACCATGATGGTTCTGCAGACTTTCAAGTGTTTTTAACTTCTGATGCTGAAGCAGATGGCATGGTAGCTATCTTGGAAGTCTGACAGAGATTTTCTTTTCTATCAGCCTCCCCACTGCAATGCATTCCTTTTCTTCACATTTTTGTTGAAATATTTCTTCCGTTCAGCTTTCTTTGTAGCCAGTCGAGGGTTAACTACCTTTGTCTCAAGGAATTTTTAGATGCAAACATGAAATGCTTTGATCTTTTGTCACAAGTCCCTGGGAATCTAAACCAGCTGTGTAATATGCAAATAATTCAGAGCTTTTCTTCACCAAAAAAACAAACCAACCAACCAACCCCTGCTTATTTTTCATCTAGTTCCTTGCTTTTAGTAGTGATTTTTATCATGAAGTCAACTGACTGTACAGCATATGAGCCTGTCATTGTGGGTGTGAAATGACAGCTCAAGAAGGACTTCTAAAACAAGCCAATTGCAACCCAATTTCTACTGTTTGGCCGCTTTCTATTTTAGCTTATTTGGAATTCCACAAAAATTAGCTGGTTTCTAAGAGGCACTGCTTTTGGTGTGTATTGTGGCAGGCAAACGGGAAAGAAGAAATTGCTGTCCCCTCATCAACAGAATTGTTCCCTTTCGGTGCAGACAGACGCATGCCATTCTTGGATCAAGCATAATTAAGAGCTATGTGTGATTTTTTTCTTGTATTTATTGTCGGGTTGTGCTTGGATGCTGTGCTCGTGACAGCTGCAGCCATTCCTGCTCAGAAACAGGGCATCTCCAGGTCTGTTTTTAACCTTCCTTGATGCAGATTTAATCTAGTGTTTCTAATCCCCTTACTGCACGGTGTATGTAGCTGTAACGGCTGGGAATCCTGCACAAGGATCAGGGTCTCAATGCTCTAGGTGCTGAACAAAAAAGATGTACATGGAACATTACACTCTATGCTCATGAGCATATAAACCCTACACACAACCCAACAAACCTTACAGTTGTATAAACCCTACAAACTTCAAATCCCTCTTCTCACCGTTCTCTGCGTGCAGAGATCCTTGACAGCATACCTGCACGAGTGTCACACAACAATGTGTAGCTTTAAAAGGAACTTCTTCAGTCATTGACTCTGCTTTCAGAGGCAAAAAGGAGCTCCTTATGAGCAAGTATTTCATATTTAATGAATACTTTTCCAGTTTATGATCTATTACTGGGTTAAGATGCTATTTTACACAATAGATCCCCTTTAATATGATTTCCAGCTCTTTGTGGCTTGATTGAACCTTGAACAACTTCTGCTTAGAAGCATTTTCACAAACATTCTCACACATAAAACAAACGTCTAGGATATAGTTTGCAAAATAAAGATGCACTTCAGACACCACTGGCCACTGCATGCTTGTCTGCCAGGTAGCTGTACACCTCAGCGGTCACTAGATACCTCTTATAGCCAATGGGCACTTGTGTGGGATTCACCTCTAAGATCAAGACATCAGATAAATCATGTTAAAAGTGCCTATTTCCCTCTGGTCACTACAGAGGGTTCCTGGGCACCTTACTTGGATGGAGATTTCCGCATTTTTAACATGTAAGGCTGGATGAGCTGAATCCCATCCTGCATGTGCTACTGATCATTTTTACCTTCATGAGAAAATTAACAGGTTACTTCTACTCTAGCAAGTCTGTGGGTCGGTGCTGTGGTGATCCCAAGCACCAAGGCAGCCAACTCTGCTCCCTTTCTACCGTGTACATTAACAGTATTGCAGCATACGAGCAACTAATTAATGCCTACATTCGCTTCCTACACTGCATAGAATCATAGACTCATAGAATAGTTTGGGTTGGAAGGGACCTCTAAAGGTCATCTAGCCCAACTCCCCTGCCGTGGGCAGGGACATCTTCAACTAGATCAGGTTGCTCAGAGCCCCGTCCAACCTGACCTGGAATGTTTCCAGGGATGGGGCATCCACCACCTCTCTGGGCAACTTGTGCCAGTGTTTCACTACCCTCAGCGTAAAATATTTCTTCCTTATATCTAGTCTAAATCTACCCCCCCTTTAGTTTAAAGCCATTCCCCCTTGTCCTGTCGCAACAGACCCTGCTAAAAAGTTTGCCGCCATCTTTTTTATAAGCCCCCTTTAAGTACTGATAGGCTGCAATAAGGTCTCCCCGAAGCCTTCTCTTCTCCAGGCTGAACAACCCCAACTCTCTCAGCCTTTCTATCATCTGCTCAGCCCAGGTTCTAGTTTAGCTCTTCAGTTAGGGGACCTTTCTGCCTGTAGACTTCATGGCAGGACAGCAGTGTTACCAAGACGGTGTATAAGTACACACCAGGGCAGTCCATTAAACACCCACTATTTTTTTTTTTTTTTTAAGATTCTCTCTCCTAGTTTGTTTTTCAGATTAATCATACGCACATTTGATTATTTCTAGCTATCTACTACTCTCAGACCAATCTCACGTGGGACTACAGGTACCAGCTGCTCTCATACAAACACAAATGTGAGGCATGTATGCACAGCAATTCTGTGGCTCTGTACATTAAAAAGTACATTTTGAATACTAACCCTTGCATTTTTTCAACTAATTTTTACATTCTTGCTGAGATTGTGCGGCTCTCAGCTGCAGCTTGAAGCAGAATTTACTTTCTAGTCACTTATTTTGTGTGTTAAACATACAATTTGTTTTGGCATCACCATTACTATCAAATGATGCCTTGGGGTTACTTAAAATTAGCGCTTGCCACACAGCACACCACCTTTCTCTCTGCCCCCTTTCCTCCTGCCCCTCAGCTTCTCTACATAAGTGATAACGCACTCTCCCCAGCTCCGACCTGCACAGCCCTCAGACCTTGCTAACACTGTGGCTTGGTGTTACCACCTGGATGAAACCCACTGATACACAAAATCAAGATAAGAAAATGAGACCCCCATACTGTCACTGTGCCACCAGACCTTGTTCACTCTGCCTCATCCTCCCATCTCCCTCCCCCAGCATATTTTTGGTTTTAGTTGCACTGCAAACCTTTTGGGACAGGCTCTGAAGATCCTGACATGGCCCATAGATGAGTGCCCGTTCCAGGCCCTGTCCTGTTTTTCCTCAGAAAAAATTCAGTTACCTGCTCCATCATCTCAGTTTGTTACAGCTCATGGTTTTACTCTCAGCACAACCCACGTGTTCAGCACACTGCATGCCCAGCTCAGCCGGTACATGGTCTGACAGAAAATCACCCACCAACCCTCATTTGCCAGCACAGAGGGTGGGAGAAACTCCCCTATCCCTGGCAGTGCCGTAAAGAGACTGAGAGACCAAGGGACCTCTGGAGGCCTCTGGTCCAACCTTCTGCTCAGAGCAGGACCACTGTCAGTATTAGAACAGGTTTATCAGGATACATGCAACCTTCAAAGTAGAAATCACATTAAACATCCCCTCCAAAGGTCTTTAGTTACAAGCCAGTAGAGAGGGCTGAGTCTTTCCTCCTGGTTTCTGTGCCGGCAAGAATGCTCCACGGGGACAACCTTTCCTCTTTAGGAAGGGATTTCCCCCCCTCAGTTTGCCTTACCTACAGATTTTGTCCGTGGAATTCCTTTGCGCAGTGAAACGTGGGGCTTCTCAGCTCCCGCAAGGACCCCCGAGTGTGCTGCCATACCCTGGCGTTCAAAGAGTGACTGGAAGAGAAAAAAGGAAATTTCCATTCTGGACATCAGCGAGACTCAGCTGAAAGGACACAACACTTCATCTCAATCCACCTGATCCTTCTGACTGCGGGTGAAGCTGGGGCTCTACCCCCATGTCAGTCTGTACGTCAGACCCTGTCCCTGCTGCCCTGCGCCTGCAGCCGGGACTGCCACAGCCCCAGGAGGGGAGGCTTCCCTGGGGACAAGGACGAACCCCTTCCTCACCTCTACCTTCAACAGTCCATCTATCTTCCATGCTGCCCCATCCAGCATGTCTCCAAAACCTGTGCTATTGCCCTTTGAAGGGTTAACCCTCCCTCCCTCTCTCCAGCTTGCCTGCTCCCCCCTGCCTGCCTGCTCCCCCCGCCGGCTCTCAGGCGCTTTGTGCCCAGGGTGGGGTGGCACAGTGATGCTGACTCCAGCAGCAGCCTTCCTCCCGTGGGAAGGCTTTGCTCAGGCCAGTCTCTGCTCAGAAGCAGCCTGTCCTATTTTACCTCCTGCTCCAGAAGCTGCCTCCCACCGCCTGCAGCACTTTCACAATCCAGACAGCCTGGAGCTGGCAGCCCCACTCCTACTCCATCCATGCTTCCCCTCAGAGATGGCGTTTTTCTCTTCTTTGATTCCTCCTAATTTCCAGCTTCACATCCAGAAAATTGCAGCCAGACTATGCTTGCCGGCTCAGCTTTCCACACTCCTTCAGATCCGCTCTTACGTCCTCCCCGTGGCAATCCCGTACTGGTTTGCAGCTGCCAAATGGCCTGGGTCAGCTCCTCCACCACCTGCCCAGACTCCTGCTCTGTGTCTCCATCTCCCCCCACTCTCTCCTTCCACTCCCCTGGGGAAACCCACTCCCAAATGTGAGTCTCAGGGCTGGCAGTCAGCGTCTGTCACAGCGTGATGTGCCCTTCCCTCTCCCACCGCGAGCCCTCCTCTCTCACACTGATTTCTGCTGGCGTGATGCGCCGGCTTGTTGGTCGCTGCTTCACAGTGGCTGCCCTAGAATCTGCTTCGACAATGTCTGCTCTCAGCGCGGGCTCAGCTGCTGCCAAAATCTCATCCAGTTTCTCTGAAAATCCAAATGTAAAAGCAAACGGGTTAGCAAGGGCTGCTGTACTGAGGCAGCTCCCCTACGACAGGCCCATCCCCTGCAGCGTGGCTAAGCAGGGAGCGAACATCCCCGTAGGGAGAGTGGTTCCTAGGCCTGTTGAGCACAGAGTGGAGGAAGTGGCTGCTCAGTCGTCTCCTCCCCAGCCAGTGGCTAACAAAGATTTTGGAGGTGTTTCTGGAGCCGCCCACCCACCACAATGCACAAGCAGGCACCGGCCTGGCTCAGCTGGGGGACCCACAGCTGACAGCCCAGTGCGGTAGCACCGCACCGTGCCACTCTCCTACCCCAGCTGAACCTGGCGCATCCATGCGGCCCAGGCACCCCTGACCAGCCTGCCTGACCTCTGGGGTCTGACCTGCCAGCTCCCAAGGTGGGGGGACCGCTCCCAGCTGCGCTGCGCTTTGAGGAAGCCTCAATCCTTACATTAAAAGAGCAAATTTTTGCCCAGATATATTTTTGATATTCAGAATGAGACTGAGTCCGCCCCTGCCGAGTCACCATCACTGGAGGTATTTAAAAGACATGTAGATGTGGCACTTAGGGAGATGGTTTAGTGATGGACTTGGCAGTGTTAGGTTTACGGTTGGACTTGGTGATCTTAAAGGTCTTTTCCAACCTAAATGATTCTATGATTCTAATTGGGCGAAGCAGGGTGTGGGCAGCGGCTGCGCTACGGCAGGTAAGGGGAACCCAAGTGCCGCAGTGACCACAAGCGATGCAGAAGTCCATGGGACTCAGTCCGGCTCCAGCACAACCAGTGTCACTCCAGTGTCTGTTTGGGACAAACTAGGACATTTCCTCCCGAAGTGGACTCATGTGCCCCAATGGCCCTGATGGGAGTAACCAGGCCCCCACGCACCCCCATGTCCACGGGCCCGGGAGCTCTGGGTAAGTGCAGGCCGGGGGTCTCAGTGCCCGCCTGGGCTGTGGTGCAGCAGCACCATTTGCAGAGCTGTCACGGCCATGCCTGTGCCGCCATGGGCCTGACTCACACACCGACTCCCAGGCTTGACCTTGGCCCTGCCTCGCCACCACAGGCTTGCCTGCAGACCTCTGGGCTACACCCGACCCTGGTTAGCATCACCAGGGCAGACCCTGACCCGGCTCCCAGCCTGACCTCGGCCCTGCCTCATCACTACAGACCTGCCTGATGGGCTGGACTCATGGTTGAAGGTGACAGACCTCGGTCTGCCCTGCCCAAGGTGCTCAGGGCAGTGGGGCCCGTCAGGCCCCCGGCCGTGTGACCATATCTGTCTTTCGGGGAGCGGCTAGCCCTTGCTGCTCCCCCAGCCTGCAGAGCAGCCCCGGTCTGCAGCGCTCACAACACTCGTGCCAGGAGGGTGTACACTCACTCGGACACAGCACCAGTCCCGGCTGTCGCTGGGGTTTTGTCTGGGGCTGTAAAACACCCTGAAACTCAGGACATTGGAAACAGCAGGCAAATGCTGGCCACTGTCACCACTGACCCCTTCTGAGCTCCCTCCACGTGGAGCCAGACAGGGTCCAGCAGAGCCGAGCTAACGAAGGCTGCTGGGCTGGTGCTCAGCCCGGGCAGGGTCCATTCAGGTGTGGCTGCCCCCTGCTCCTACAGCTCCCTGGGCCAGGCAGGGTTGAGTCTGTCGGCTCCATGTCATAAATGGTGTCACCTGGCACTGGAGCACAGCCATCACATTGGCATGGTGCTGCAGCTGATGGATCTGCCTTAGCATTCATCAAGACTGGATGCCTCTACCTCCATGGCACAACCAATCCACCGTCCCAGTAAATTGCCCAGGGAGAGAGGAGAACACGTGCAGTGTTTGTCCTGTAACGCTGACAAGCTCTGCCTGTGTTCAGGTAAGGCTTGTAAACTGCTGGGCTCTTTCCAGCCTGGCTGTTGAACTTGGGACTGCGAAATGTCACTGCTGTGGTGCAGGAGCTGCTGATCCTTGTGACCCGAGCTACCTGGAGAGCTCTGACCATCAGGCCTGTATTCCTACAAAACACAGCCTGGGGCTAATATGACTCATGGGCCAGCTTCAGTACCTCCACACACTGTGGCCACGGCAGCTGTCCGCGTGGCAGTTTCTAAGCCAGCATTCCTGAATTACAGAAACTGAAAATGAGTCCCAAACGTTTCAGAAGCCCAGTCTGTGGAGGAGCAAGCCCTACACCAACACAGATGCCAAGTGGTCTTTGCCAAGGGGACTTAGGTGTCCTCTGAGGCCAGCACCCTTGGTGGCAGGTATCCACCAAGGCCCTGGGACTAAGGACCTGCACCTGCTCCAAGGAAACAGCTCAGGCCAGCTCCTGAACTTCCTCAGCTCAAGACCTCCTGTAGCCAACCATCCTTGTCTCTGGGGGACTTCATAGTTCCTCTTCCTCACTGCTGTGTGACTCGCATGCTGCGCTCACTGCAAGAGGTGTGGGGTGGTTCAGCCTGCTCAGAGGGGAGCTGGCTCATCCCTTGCGTCCAAACACTCTGAGCAACTGCATGGACCTCTGACAACCAAGCCTCAGGAGGGGATGAGCCATGGGCTGATTCTAAAGACGACCATGTGCTGGAAACCTGCCTCATCGGCGTCTCTGGAAGCTGCTCTGGGCAGCCCTGTAGTGATGTTAGTTTGGAGACCCCAGTGATGCGGGGTCCCCAGTCCTCTCCACCTGCCTCCACTCCTGGCTTTATTCCACTTTCCATCTCGTAATGCCATTAGAGCGCAGGGATACAAATCACCACTAACTGCACTTTGTATCTGCCATGCCTTTGAAGGAGATGGAAGAGCGTTTTGGAGTGGATCCTGCCTGCCTCCAGGCTGCTGGGGCGGGGGATTGAGGCAGTGCTGGAGCCGCCCTGAAAAGAAGGACCCCCCAGGAATGGGTGCACCCTAATGGCTCTGGCTGTCCAAGGCGTCAAGAGCTCTCCACCACACACTTGGAGACAGCTGTCTTCAATGTCAGGACATCCCTGGTGACCTTCAGATGATCATTCTGATCCATGAGGTGGTGAATGCCCCATCCCTGGAAACGTTCCAGGTCGGGCTGGACGGGGCTCTGAGCAACCTGGTTTAGTTTAAGATGTCCCTGCCCACAGCAGGGGGGTTGGACTAGATGACCTTTAGAGGTCCCTTCCAACCCAAACTATTCTATGATTCTATGGGACCTCTGCATTGCCTCCACCTCTGGGTACTGACCAATCTGCTCGGTATAGAGGAGCTCTGGGGAGGTCCCTCAGAGACCTCCCGCTTGTAAGCCCTGCTCAGCTTCTTTCCTATGTCATCACCGTTATGGTGGAAGACTTACTCCCTCACATTTCCTGTTCCTTGGGAAACAGTTCTCTAGCTTCACATTACCAGGACAGAGAGAGTTTTGCTTCTGAAAGGCTAAGAACTGAGGTCAGGTCTCCAGGCTCCCCCCACTACCCCGTGCCTGTGCTGGAGAAATGCAGAGCTGTGTGCTGGCATGGGACAAGCCTTCTTGCTCCATTCAGGATTGTCCATTACTGGCTCTCAGCCCTGGCAAGAACCACCTGTCTTTGTAGCATGCTTCATGCAATGTCCACACAGACACTGCGTAGTGCAACCGCCATGTATGGAGCCCTGCTGCAACCAGCTTCACCCCAGCCAGCTTGGGCACTGATAACATGGCCTTCATGGTGGGTAGCCCTCTCCACCCAGAGCTCGGACAATTAATAACCAAATTAGCTCTCCCCCAGCTAACTTGGGTATGCCCTCAGAGCTGCCACCAAACCCTGCCTGCAGCGCAGGTACGTCCTCAGGTGCTTCCTTGGTGCGGGACCGCAGGGAGCAGCAAGACAGCCTGCACGGGGGCAGAAGCAGAGGTAGCACCTGTACTGCTAGACACGGCAGAGAGCGTGGCTGCCATTTCATCTGACTGAGCTCCAGAGGCCTGACCTGGGGGCTGAAGGAGACTGTACTTTAGGACCCCACATGCGGGGGACATTCCTGTTGAAGGCATTTTCACCGCGGAGCAAACGCAAAGCAAGCACAACACCTGAGGAAGTCAGACCTGGAGATTCATGGGGCCCGGCTGGCAAACAGGCACTCCTGCTTGTGCCCAACAGGAGCCCAACATGACCGCGCCGATTTCAGCCTTTCTGCTGCCCCACCAGAGCTGTACGTGGCGGCTGCTCCCTGTGGCGGTGGTGCCGGATGGGAGGCTGACCCGCAGAGCTCCGGCTCCCTTTGGGCTGAGCCTTCCTGTGGCAACTATGGGACGGTGACCTGGGCCCATCCCTTGGGGTGCACCATGCATGCCTGTGTGGTGCGACTGGGTGCTGGCTGGGAGGCTGACGGGGAAGGGAGGAGCCCCAGGATGTGTGGTTTCACTCACCCCCTTTTCTTCTCCGCATGGAGGCTTGGAATCAAGAAACAAAAGACAACATGAATGGCATGCACAGTTCCTGCTTTCATTCCCAGCTCCAGCCTCACTGCCTGCCTGCTGTGCCTCTTCCCCGCACGCTCTCCTGCCTCCCAGCATGCTGGCAGGATCAGGCCCTGACAGTGGAGCGCGTGCCTGCCTCACTGGGGGCTCTCAGGAGGAAGGCTCAGGCAGGGCAGGGGGTGTAGCATCTTGTGCATCCTCCTCAGCGCTGCTTCTCCTCCGTCCCAGCCCCGTGGGCGGGCAGGGACCGACACAGGCTGGGCTCTCCACCAGCCCCACCACTGGGACCAGCTCTCTGCTGAGCCCTCCTCCTCTTCACTCAGACCAGGAGAGCAGAGGGAAGGTGAGATGTCAGAAGGAAGTAAGACCAGGAGGAGGTCTGGATGGCATTTAATGCCTGAGCCATGGAGAAACTCTTTTAAAAGCTTTTAATCCCTCCCTGCTAACTGAGGAGACACAGCAGTCTGCACGTCTCCCAGAGCCAGTCTTCTCAGCATCAGCAAACACCAGGACTGCAGGACAGGAGTGCTTTGTTAGCAGCTTGCTGGGAATCTGCTTTTCCAAGGGCACTGGCACGATATGCAGCAAGAAAACGTTAAGGTATGGCTATGGGCATATGGGATGTTCTGGAAGCCACAGGACAGGGACAGGCTTCAAGGAAAGAGGGGCAGGGACCATCTGACAAAGCTCACTTTAAGAAGCTGCAGGTAAAAATGTCCCTTTCACTAACACCACCATCCCCTCAGAAAAGGAGGGGACTAAACTTGCACACCGCTGAGGCGTGGGGATGCTGACCTGCACGAGAACTCCCTCTTCGCAGTAAAAGCTGGAGGATCAACCACCAGAAGACAAAGTGCGGGAGGAGGAACAATGCCCCATTTTCCCTGTGCCGTGCTCCCTGGGGATGTGTGGTGGGACTGGCTACAGCATACTCCCTGATCCACAGGACATGAAGTAGGGACTAACCACTACAATTTCCCAGAAAACATGTGGACTAAGACCAGTAACTGTCTACAAATCCCTCTCCCGGGAGACAAGGGCAGCTGCTGCTCCTAGTCCCTCTCCAGGTAGAAGAGAGGCAGTATCTAGATGCAAAATCCTCAGGGAGACCTAGAGGACTCATCTTTAATATATTCTCTGGCAGAGCTATTTCTCTGCTTTTCGTGACTTCCCTTTCCATGAGCTTGCTCCCCTCCCCCTCAAGCCCAGCAGCTCTGCTTGCCAAAACACATGCAAATGGGGCCCCTTCCCTCACACCGCTGCGGGTTTCCACAGTGCAGGTCGTCCCATGGCGATGTCCCACACCCCACTTGGCACTCGCAAGGCCAAGTGCCATGGTTGGGGTGCCCGTCACTCTGCAAAGGTGCCTGCACAACGTGTGCCAGGCTTCGACTCGGGCGTGATGTTTACCAAAGACAGGCACATGCAGCTGGGGAACATGTTCTCACAGAGGCAACATGCTGCCTGTGCGTGCAAGCAGGCATCCATCACACCAGCTAGGAACAACTTTCAGGACCAGCAACCGAGAGTAAAAATATGAACCCTGGGGTCTGTGCAATATCTGTGCAAAGGGAAGAGCAAAAACGGGAAGAAACGGGCTATTCTGAATCCTCTCCTAATGGCTACTAGTAAACACAGCACCTTCAGGTCTAGTGATAAAGGTCTGGAGAAGCGGGGAACAGGCTAGGGTGAAAATCAAGGCAGCGGGCTCAGCATAAAATAAATCACAGTGGCCATCAATCAGCTGATGCAAACCCTTAAATGCTGAGATTTGTCCCTTCAAACCCACGTTTGAGTGTGAGCCCGAACCCTCAAGGTTTATTTCTTTTGGGAGAACCCCACAGGGTTGTAAATCCTGGACATGCATGTAGGACAGGGAGCAGAGCAGAGTGAGAAACGTCACGGACCTTCCTTCAACGCCCTGAAAAAGAGAGGGGGTGGTGGGGTCTCTGCCTAGGTTCCTGCCTCTCAGGTGGGTCTCCTCCCAGGCAGGACAGGGGTCTGCCACGCGCAGCCTCTGTGCCATGGCCAGCAAGCACATCTGTACATATCACCACATTTTCGCACAGCAAAAACATAAATACAAATAGCAGAAGCGTGAGCCAGGGCAGTAGGCAGTGCTGAGAGCGGCTCCCTCTCGCTCTACCAATGCTCTTGGTGGGGGCTTGCAGCACATCCAACTCCCGCGCTGGGTCAGCCCTGAACAGCCTGTTTTGGCAGAGCTAACCTTGTGTGCACCAGAGCTGCATGTCGGAGCGTGGTTGCCCCAAAGGCTCCCCCAGAAGGAGGGGTCCCTCCACATCTCCTGCACCTGGCAGGCTGTGAGGGCTGCCGTTCTGCCAGCCAGCCTCCCCGGCTGGTGGCGGTGCCGGCATTGCCACTGCTAGCGGAGCATCCTGCTCAGCTGCCCTGCAGTGCACCGGGGATAACGCATGGCAAAAACGGCAAATCATTCTGTGCAGAGGAAAGGGACTGCCATTCGGAGGGTGTGTGAACACTGGCACCCCTACGGCCCTCAGCTGGTAGGATGCTACTAGGGGGAGCCCAGTGCACTGGGAAGGTGTGGGCTCAATGAGGTCGCCAGAACAGATGGGAAGACTGAGGGGCTTCAGCACAGGGTACCTGGAAGTGAGGATGGGGTGGAGGTAGAGAGGCTTTAAGAGAATATAGGAAAACATGTAGATGCAAGCTGGGATACCAAAGCATCTGGAAATGTGGGTAGGCTCTGTAGTGACAGCAGAACGTGTGAGCGTGTGTGCATATGCATGTGTGTGTGTGTAAGGGGGGGGGAGGGCAGCCCATGGGGATGCCAGCTAATCTGACAGCATGTGATATCTGCCTGGAGGTAGAGGAAAATAAAAACAAGGGGCTGTTCGGAGCGCGGGAGGAGCAGGGTGCCTGATGGACGGGGCATGGGGGCGGCGAGCCTCTCTGCAAGCACATGGAGGCACCCAGCATCCTTCCCCCAGGCCGCCTCTCTGGGGAGGCAGCACTGAAGGGGTGGACTGACTCTACTGGGCTCTCCCACGCCCCTGTGGCGGTGGCAGCGGGCTGTCAGCCCCCCGTGCCCCACACACCGCTAAGCACAATGGAAACTTCAGCGCAGGAGGTGCACGTGTTGCCTCGCGCTCGTGCTCATGCACCCCTCTGGAAAATGGACGTTGGGCAAGTGTGCTGCCTGCTCTGGCCACGGCCCCGCATGCTCCTCATGCACCCCTGCATGCACGCGCGAGCCCCTGCTGCCGCTTACCCAGCTCTTCCAGCTCAGCCGTCATGGACTTGGAACGCAGCGTCAGGGTGGTGCTGGGTGCTCTCTTGGGAGGCGGCGGAGCTGAAAGGAAGAGAGACGGCATTTTGCATTTCTTGTCCAGGAACTTACGAGGAGTGGCCAGATGCAGATGCCACTTCTTCTCCACAGCCTGGATCTCCTCGTACTCGCGGGATGAGGAGTCGCACTGCTGCAGGATCTTATTGAGGCTGCGTGTGGAAGCAAACTTCTTCATGGTCTCGGTAGCACAGTCCCGGGGCACGGGGCAGGCCCCGGCGCGGAGGGGCTGGTGGCTCCCGCAGGCACGTGCACGCTGCCCAGGCTCCCACAACCCTCAGTGGAGGAGAGTCCAAGTCATGTCCCCAGGCTGCGCCTGCCCCCCTGCAGCTACCGGAGATGCTATGGCTATGAAAGCCTCTCGCGAATTAAATCTGTCTCAGGCAGCTGGCTGCCTGCCTGTGGGACTCAGCAAACAGCTTTGATGGCTGCTTCCCCTCCGCACATGCCATGGGTGGAGGGTAGGAGGGAGAAACAAGTCCAGCAGGCCTGATCTCAGTCTCTCATTCCCGCCTCGGCGCGGCGCATCCCCCAGCAAAACACAGCCCACCCACCCTCCTCTGCCGGCTCGGCCGTATCCAGGACGGGGTGAGGCTCCCGCGGCCCTAGTGAAGCGCTGGAGGCGGCCTGCTCCGTGCCGGGCAGCAGAGGCACATGGCTGGCATGGGGCGGTGCGGTGCTGTGCCGGGGCGCGGGGCTGCCCCGAGGGGCTGCCTAGCTGGGCCGGCCCACGGGGCTGCCCCGGAGGCGCTGCATGCCATGAGCCCACCGGAGCGGGGACGAGTTGAAGGCTCTTCCTCTTCACTTGGGGTGCCTCCTCCTCCTCGCGCTCGCTCGCTGACAATGCTGGATTCAACGCTCAGGCATTGCCATGGCAACCGGAGCTTCAGGCTTTGCTGGCGCTGCCTGCATCAGAGACCCCAACAGGGGCGGATTCAGCCAGAAAATGCCAGTCCCACACAGGCCTCCATCACCCCCAGGAAGAGGCGAGCCCCAGCCGGGGGGGGATGGGGGTCTGGCTCCCCCGGGCCGCGCTGCAGCCAGGGTCCTGCAGAGCAGACTCGGCTGCGGTCCCCGCACTCCGTGCTGTAAGAGTGGCCGCCCAGCTCTGGGGGCTCTGGGCACGGGCAGCAGGCAGCGATGGGCAGCAATGGGCAGCTGCTCACCGGCTGCAGGGCTGAAAGCACCAGGATAAGTGGTGAGCGGCACTGGTGGTGGTCCCAGCACTGATTCCTGAGCCTCAGCCTTTCCCACGACTCGTGCTTTTGTGCCGTGACAATATAATTACAGCTCTTAGTGTCAGCGCACAGAGCTGCCTCCCTCCCCCATGCCCCACGTGCTGTGCTGGGAGCGCCCCGCTCCCGTTCCCCTGCGCCTCCCGTACCCCCACGCCAGGCTCCCAGCCGCACTCTCCTGGAAAACGCTCCTGCCCCACAGCCTGCCTCCCTGCACACGGCCCACAGCAGGGGCGGACAGGGACAGCCTGCCCCGTGCTGCCAGCTGCTTCCAGATGTGCCCCTGCCCTGTGTTGCCAGCTGCTCCCAGATGTGCCGCTGCCTTCCGCAGCTGGTTGCCTGTGGATGAAGTCCTAAACTCCACAGACAGCTGCTGCCATATGTGCCCCTGCCCTCCACCACCGGCTGCTCCCAGACGTGCCCCTTGCCTTCCACTACCAGCCCCTGCCCTCCACCTCTGGCTGCCCCGGATGATGTCCTACCCTCCACAGCCAGCTGCTCCCAGATATGCCTCCAGCCTCCCTAGCTGGCTGTCCTCAGATGTGCCCCTGCCCTCCACAGCTGTATGCCATGATGTGTCCCTCCCGTACACAGCTGGCTTCCTCCCATCCAGCTGCCTTCCAGATGTGCCTCTGCCCTTCTCAGCTGAATGCCCCCTACCCTGAGGGCTGCCCTGCCCCGCTGGCCATGAGCGCATCAGCCCACCACCAAACGCCCCCTCAGGCCCCACCTCTGGCCGAGGGTCTCGGCTCTGCCCTCAGGGACTGGGGATGATGGGGCGAAGGCCCAGAGCTGTCTTGGGGGCCCCACGGCTGCCTGCCCTCCCCTGCG